TTCGCTCCTCTTCCACCCTCCTTCTCCTCCTTAGCCGTTTTGGCGCAAGATGCTCTGTTCCACAAGGGGGGCGCGTGGATGGCTCTGTTCCGAGGCTTGGTCACAAGAGTTTTTCGTGCAAGGGTAGGCTGTGCGCTGCCCATCCAGAATCATGGCGCCTCCTGCGCGTGCAGAGGCAGCGGTCCAGTGGCTCTGCAAGTGATGCTCGCAGCCTGGGATGGGAAAGCCATGGTGAAATCCCCGACAGCAAGACGTGTGTGCGCTGTAGGCTGCTGAAGGGTGATTGCTTCCACTCGAGCGTGCAACCCCTCGCTCCGTCCGAGCGGTTGCCGCTCTGGGCGAAGCAGCCGAAGGATCTCGAGGACATGGCCAAGAGGCTCGAGGCAGAGAACAACAAGCTGCAATCCAGTCCGCCTGCAGCCAGTGCAGAGGAAACCGAGATGCATGACGAGGTGCGCGGGCCTCTTTCCGAGCCTGGGGAGGTAATCGAACGCAAAAGGCCCAAGGAGGTGGAGGGGCAGATCGGGCTGTTCGCGAAGTGGACGCCGATCCGAATAGTTCGCCCGTCCTTCAGGAGCTCCCTTGCGAGAAGAAGGACGTCCACAAACAGCTCCAGAAAGCTTCCCGATCTACGTGCAGCTGTGCGCGGCTTTGGCGCGTCTCAAGGTGGCCCGCAAACGCGTGGCCACCACGAGGGAGCTCACTGAAGCTAAGGAGGTCCATTTGGCCAAGTTGCAAAGCAGCTTGGGGGAGACGAAGAAGGACCTCGAGAAGCTCGAAGGCGAGGCCGCTGAGGTCAGGGTGCGCGTGCACGAGCTCACGAACTTTGGGGTGGCCCCCCCGAAGGAGTTTGCCCTGGCCGCCCCGATGTTTGGGACCAAGCTCAGGAGGAGCTTGATCGGAAACTGGGGCGTATACATTACGTGGCGGGCTGTTTCTTGAATCCCATGACTTTTTGAGGGTCGGGGACGACGCTGGGGTGGTGTGGTGTATAGTTTTTTCCCCGATGTCCCGGGAAAGCAACGACAAATGTATACACCAGGATCCCGTATGCACCAGAATCCGCGTTCCCGTGCGAACTTCAGCGCAGGGTCGGGAAACGCGTCGGTGTACATGGAGTTCGCTTCTCTGCTTGAGAAGCTGCTCCACCAGCGTGGAGTCGGCCAGCAGTCCCGCGCGGTGGCGGAGTCGCTGGCCGAGGTCATCCCGCAGCTCACCTCGGTGCCGGCGCAGGGCCCTGGAGGGCAGGAACCGGCAGGGGCAGCGCGCCCTGCGGCAGGGGCAGCGGGCGCGGCAGCAGGGGCGGGAGTCGACGGCCCCTATGCCGAGTGCCGAGGGCGCTGATCAGATCCTCGAGTCCGCTTTCGAGCAGGAGCTTCGAGGCGGGTTGCCGGCTTGCTGCCCAGACGGCAGGGCGCCCGAGCTGCCCAGGGACCTGGTGGTTCTGCGTGCTGCTGCTGTGCGGCTTCAAGTCAACCCGCTGCTCGCCAAGGTGTTGGCTGCCATGAACTACCAGCAGCGCCAGCGCCAATGCTGACCAGAAGTTTGTCGAACCCGTGTGTGTGTGTGTGTGCGTTAGCGCTGTCGGCATCATGACCACGAGTCTTCCGAATGGCGCTGAGATGGGGCCCGTTTCTGCCCCTGTGATTGGCGAGCGCGACACTGCTGCAGCCGCAGGCGCGCGCACTACCCTAGATAATGAGTAAGATATCTCCTACCAGGACGACCTCGACTGGTGGATGTCTTCTGCGACGGATAGGCCGCCCTCGCCTGGGCTCGGCAGGCGCCGCGTTTTTCCCGAATGGCCAGAGATGTGCATTCCTCTGGGTGGTGCGCGTGTGCGGCGCAGAGTGGCAGCTCGAGCTCCAGTTCGGCCTGGCCCCCCCCCCCCCCAAGTGGCCAGAGATGTGTGTTCCTCTGAGTTGGGGGCAAGTGCAGCAGAGATCGGTGGCTCGCGGCCGGGTCCGGTGTCGGCGGGCTCTGCGTCGACGTCTGCTGCGTCCAGCTGGCGCGCCGGGGCGAGTGGCCCCCGCCAGCCTCGGCATGCCCTGCCGCCGCGGCCCCCTGCTCCGCAGGCCGTGGCAGGGACCGGGGCCCGCCGACTGCGCCTCGCCGTCGTTGGGGGGAGGCGGCCTCGGCGTTGTCCTCGGGATCTGGTCTGGGCGCGAGCCGGCCGGCGCTCTCGCCCGAGAGCCAGGTCGGGGGCCTGGAGACGGGGGTCGATGCAAACGGGGGTCAGCCAGGGCGCCAGATCCTGCGGGATCCTGCGAAGACCCCCTCTGGCTGACCCGGGTTAGCGAGCCGCTCGAGGCCGCGAGGCGGCCGCGCATATTGGCTGACCCGGGTTTGCGAAGATCTGCGTTGCAGTTTTTTTTCCTCCTGCATTGCAGTTTTTAGTTTCCTGCTGACCCGGGTCTGGATTGACCCGGGTCAGAAGACCCCCGACAAGGGCGCGTTTCCCGAGTCTGGCCGCCTTCCCAGAGCGTGGCGTCCATGGCAGTGGGGCGCCATCGCAATAGAAGGAACGCCGAGAGCTACAGTCCGAGGCGGGAATTTATGCATGACCACTGCCTGGAGGATCAATTTTCGGGGACCTCGGCAGGCGGTGGATATGGACATATTCGGGCCCCTGGGGGCCGAAATATATCCATATCCACCGCCCGCTGGGGCGCCAGGGCGTCCGTTCCCAGGCGGTGGATGTGGATAAATTCCCGCCTCGCATACAGGTGCCTCAGGCGATGTGCGATCCAGGTGTGGCAGAGTGAAGGGGCAGCAGATGCAGGGCGCAGTGGGCCACGACAAGTACTTAGTCTCGGTCAACGCGGAGGGCGCGGGGCCGCCCAAGGCCTTCCACGAGGATTGCTCGGCCGAGATCGTCGCGGCGCAGTGTCGCAAGACGATGGCGGCCAGCGCCCCCTCCCTGCAGCGGCGCGTGGAAGACCTTGGCCTCCGAAGGATCAATGCGCCCGCCAGCGGTGGTCGCGGAGGCTGGATGCAAATTTGGCGGGGTTGCGGGGTTGGCGCAGCCTCGCATTGAAGTCGAAACACCGTCGTGCACTGAGAGTGCCATCCTGGCTCAAGGGCGTATTGCAGCTGTTGGTATCGATTGGGGCGCCCTTGGAGGCGTCGTCGTGCTTGTCGTCTACTTGGTTTTGGGAGTGGGGCCCACGCCTGAAAATGAAGCGCTGCTCCTCGCGCTCTCCAGATACCTGGTTATTCTCAACATTGCTGGGCGACGCTGGGCGGTCCTTCTCAGATATCACCCCCGGCTTGGTTGGAAAAGGGTGGTTGGGCGGCGCCAGAAAATTTGTCTCGTTGCTGGCGAGGGCGGCTTGCATCCAGCTGCTCCCTGGCAGCGCGTCTGACTGCGCGCTGGTTTGCGAGAATTTGGCCACCCGTGTTCGAAGTTCCGTGGCGAAGTACTTTGCATCGTTCGGACGTGTGCATGTCTTCTCTGCGAAAACCATCGAGGACCATCCTGGACCATCGAGCAAACAAAAACACACGCACGAAACCGAAACAGGTCAGGGGCATGGGTGTCCGGGCGACGGCGAGTGCATGATGCAGAGGTGAAGATGCATCGGTCAGTGAGAATGCCGTCCCTGAGCGAGGGCCGGCCTTCCTGGTTCTAGGCTGCGATCGAACCTCGGGCCTTCCCCAGGGTTCCGCCAGTTGGCTGCGCGCGATTTGCAATGGGCTGGGCCTTTGTGGGTCGTCGGACCTTCCGCGCCAAGACGGGGGGGGAGGAGGTGCGCCAGGCCTGGGGCGCCACGCTGAGCTGCGTCGAGCAGGAGCTGCAGGGGGTCCACGGCGAAAGGGGGCCCGAGGCGGAGAGGCATTCGGGCAGAGGAAGATCGGCCGACGCGCAGTTGTCCAATGCGCAGGGGAGGCCGGTTCACGTGAGGCAGCAGCTCGGTGCTCCGTTGCGCGCGATGTTCGTGGCATGTCGGTGGGCAATTCGCCTGCTTGGCGCTCGCGCTCGCCAGCGGCGATGCGCGGAGAAGACCGTGGCGAGGGATGGGCCCCGGGGGCGGTGAACGCTGGTGCTGACCTTCAGCCGCTGGGCAATGGCGCGTACGTGCCATCTTCGCCGACGTGAGGCGATCAAGGGTGAGAGAAATGCCGATGTGGGTTGGTGGCTTCATCTTGCGAGATCGATCGGGGCCCGCTGTCCTTGAGGCCCCGGCCTTGGGCGCTATGGCGCAGGAGATGTTGTCTGGGCGTGGCGGGCCGCGGAAGGAACGCGATCGGGAAGGTCAGGCCGGGTGGCGGAGTTGGGTCGACCAGTCGCTCGCCGCAGGGGCCAGTGGGGCACGCAAGTTCGCGCGCCTCCAGGCTGCGCAGGAGACCCTGGAGGCTGGCGGGGGGCAGCCGCTGTGTGGGCTGGCCGACGAAGTGGGGGGGCCCTTGCGTGAGATTTGGCGCTGTCGCGATGCAGGCGCCTTCCTTCTCGCCACCGATCATGCCGATTTGTCGGGCCCCCCCGCGTCGCTGTGGAGATGGTGGCGGGCTTCATCTTTGTTTTTTTAAAATGGGAGACTTGCGGCAGGTCCCAGCCGCATCAGGCTGCGATTACTATTGTTCTCGTCGGGGCATGGTCTGGAGGCCGAGGCGAGCTTCTGCGCGGAGTGCGAGGAGCTGCTGCCGTGGCCGAGTGGTGGCATTTGCGCTGAAATGGTTCGGGCTCCGAGAGTAAGTGGAGACTTTCGACGGGTGGCGCCCATTAGCAAGAGTATCTGAATGTGGACTTGTTGGGTCTGCATGCGATGTCGGTCGCGGCGGGCGCGCGGAAACCGTTCGACGCGTTTATGCCGCAGCAGTTGTTCGAGCAGGCCCGATCGGTCAACTGTCCCTTAGATTGTCGTGGCATTTTGTCATGAAGTGGCAAGTGTTGGGGGGATGAAGGCCCGCGGCAGCATTTGCGCGGTGGTGACTGCGAGGCAGGGGGCCCTGCCAAGTTGCGCGCGCGCGACCGCGCTCCTACGGGCGTTGATGCGGAGGGCGCTCGTTCAGGCGGAGAGCGGGTGGAGGTCCGTCGCGGCGCGTGCCCTGGTGGGCGACGCAGCGCTGTGGTGGATTGGCGCTGAATTGGCTCGCGCCAAGAAGTTCGCCTCTGCCGCGGGGGCCCTTCGGGGGGTCTCGGGGCCGAGGGCCCATCGCGCGGCCGACGAAGTTGGGGTTCGCCTGCGTCGGGGGGGTCGCCGGCGCAGCGTTCGGCACCTGGGCCAAGAGACGGCGCAGCATGCCCAAGAGGTGATCCGCAACTTCGTGCGCGACCTCGACTCGAGGCGCGCGGCGCGCCTGGTGGCGAGGGTGCGTCTTGACAAGTTGATGGGGCGCGTGCAGAGAGTGAAGATCTTGCGCGGGGCGGCCGGTGCGAAGGTCCAGGCGCTCAGGCGATCAGGGCTGGCGCCGTCTTGCGCGCGTGTTTCTGCTGTCGCTGGCATCCCTGCCCTTGCCGAGCAGTCGAGGCGGTCGGCGGCGGCGCGCGGGGTCGAGCCGGGCGGGGCGAGCATCGCGGCGCGCCTGGCCTCGAAGAGCGACAGGCGCGGTGGCTGTGTGGCCGCGCTGGGGGCCGCGAGCACGCGCGCGTGCTTCGCGCGGGCCAGCGGCTCGAGGTGGGCAGGTTGGGGCGCGCTTCGCGAGTGCCGGCGGAGAAGTGGGCGCTGCGGGGGCCGTCTTGGAGTGGCGTGCGAGGGCCGCTGGCGGCCTGCTGGTTTAGCCGGCGCAGGGTTGGATGGGGCATGGCGAGCAGCGCGGTCTTCGCCGGCGACGAGGGCCAGTGTTTCTTGCTGATGACGACGCCCCCCCGAAGATATCAAGCAGCTGCTCAAGGGCGCGTGTGCGACGCTGGCAGGGTCGCCAGATCAGCGGGCGCATCTCTTAGCGCCTCGACGGCAGCGAGGTGATTTGCATTTGTGCCATTCCGCTCGTTGTGGGGCGGTTTGACGGCGCGGTCGGCCGGCCGCGCTTAGCGGAAGCGCTCAGATCGTTCTGGTCAGGTGGCTACATAACGGCGGTCAAGAGGCGCGAGAGGAGGCCGCTGAAATCGCTGATCTGTCCTCGCCCCGAGTGCTGCGCCAAGCAGGCGCGCGGCGCGCTTGGGCGCGTGAGGAATGCGTTTTTTTTTTTGGGGGGGGGGCGGATGGTGAGGTCGCGGAGGGGCTGCCTGAGTGGGGCCTGGAGATGAGCCGGGGCAGGGGTCGCCTCAGCGAGCGCGCCGCGGGCGTCTTCGGCAACGAAAGCTGGGGCATTGTGGGCCACTGCCTCTGCGCCCCGCGGGCTCCCATGAGGTCAGCTTCGCTGCGGGAGACTGGGGGTCTTGACCCAGCTCCTGGCCCCGCGAGGCCTTGGCGGACGGGCCAGGCTTGCGCGGTGCCTGGATCGAGCCTCGAAGATGTGGGTGGGCGGTGGTTCAGCTGGAGAGGGAAGGGATTCTTGTCAGAGCTTATCGTGGCCCGCTCCCAGGCCCCGCCCAGACGGTCGGCGTGGCCGAGCGGATTGCGTTGCTCAGAGCTCAGCATCGCAATCCTGGGGTCCAGGTACTGGTCTCGGATCTCCATAGGGCCGTCTGGGGGTGCCAGGACTGGAGTCCCAGCTTTGGGGCCGCAGGAGGACCGCGCTGCTCGGTCTGGCGTCGGATCTTTGGCATGTGCAGGCCTGGTTCAGAGCCCTCGTCTTTGGAATGGGCCCCTGCTCATTCAGACGCGTGTGATTTTCTGCAGGCCCGCCCAGATGAGCCCCCGCGCTAGCAGAGAGGCAATTGTTGGGCTGATTTCTTCGCGCGGCTGGGGGCCAACGATCATGGAGTGGCTGACGCTGGGGTCGAGAATGCCGCCGATAATTCAAAGATGTGCGAGAGCCGTGCGAAGTATTTCGCGCGGGCTGGTGCTCAGATTGCCGCGCCCAGAGAGACAGAGAGAGTGACGATGGAGAAATCTCGGCTCGTGCTCGCGAATACAAGTGTCGTCCTCGTGCCCGCGGGGCATTGTTCAATAATCTTCGTGGACTCTGGGAGCATGGGTTGAGAGTTTTGCAACACGGCCATTTGGTTTGCAGAAGGTGTTTAGCGCGGTCTCGGATTCCCGCAACCTAAAAGCACCTCGCCGGTGGGTCAGGCAAATTCTCATGCGGTTCCAGGTCTTCCGTGCCAATATGGACTTCGGCGTTGGGTGGGGATCTTAAGAGGCCTGTTCCACCGTTCGTTCTGAGTCCTGCGTCAGAGGGTTTTGGCTGGTCCAGTGCCTGGGGACCCTAGGGCCTGTGCGAATGCCTCTGGGGAAGCGACAGCGACGGGGCAGGGCGAGAATTGTTTCGCACCCCTTGGCCACAGGGTGGGGCGCAAAGGGCCCTACAGGTTATTTTGGGACTGGGGCTTACTGTTCGAAGAGGCCGGGGCCTCTTATGAAGAAACTTTGCAGGGGACGCTCGGAGAAGGGGCAAAGAGGCTCTCGTCAATATTCTCGCGGGGCATCATTTTACAGGTGGATAGTTATCCTACTTTCGAGTTTGCGAGGCGGGCTTCAAGGGTTGCGCCGTAGCTATCATGTCGCTTCTAAACGCTGGCCAGAGACTGGCTTGCGTCTCTATGCTTTGTACCTTCTCGCTCCTCCCTCCTTCTCCTCCTCCTCTTCCTCCTCTTCCTTCTTCTCCATTCTCTTCCCTTTCCCTCCTTCTTCTCGGTCCTCGGTCCTCCAGCCCCGACTTCCGAGGATGCACCAGCTGAACGCTTCCGATCTGCCCAACCAGAAGCGGGACTGCAGGCCTTCACTGGCGCCGCCCAAGGTCCCGCCGCCGCCGACGCCATAGCGCTGGCGAGTGAGAGCCCCCGCCTGGCTTGCGCGCGGCGAGCGCTGCGAGTCGGCCGCGGCAGCGCTGCAGCCGCGTTTCGCTGCCGTTGGTGCTGCCTCGCCGGGAGGACGGGGGAGGTACGAGGAGGAGGGAGGAGGGAGAGGAAGAGGAGGAGGAGGCGGAGGAGGAGAAAGAGGAGAAAGAGGAGGATGGCGGAGTGGGAATGAGGGCGAAGAGTGGAAGGACGATGAAGACGATCACGATAACGATAACGATGACGATAACGATAACGACGACGATGACGATGATGAAGACGATGACGATGACGATGATGATGATGGTGATGATGATGCTGATGATGATTATGATGATGATGATGATGATCATGATGGTAATGACGATGATGCTGCTGCTGATGATGGTGCTGATGATGCTGCTGCTGATGATGCTGATCGTGATGGTGATGATGAGGATGACGATGATGATGGCGGTGGTGGTGGTAATGATGATGCTGACGATGACGATGATGATGATGCTGATGCTGATGCTGATGATGCTGATGATGATGGTGATGATCACGATGATCAGGATGCTGACGATGATGTTGCTGCTGCTGATGAGGACGTTGATGATGATGCTGCTGATGATGATCGTTATGGTGATGATGATGATGATGGTGATGATGCTGATGATCATGATGATGCTGATGAGGATTATGATGATTATGATGGTGGTGGTAATGATCATGCTGATTATGATGATGATGATGCCAGTGATGATGATGCTGATGATGATGCTGATGATGATGCTGCTGATGATGATGAGGATTATCTCGCTGATGATGACGATTTTGCTGCTGCTGATGAGGATGTTGACGATGACGAAGACGTCGATGACGATGACGATGACGGTGGTGATGATGATGATGATGCTGATGGGGATGACGACGACGATTACGACGACGGGGACGATGATGATGATGATGATGATGATGATGATGATGATGAGGATAAGGATGAAGATGACGATGACGATGATGATGATTCTGATGATGATGATGATGATGATGATGATGATGATGATGATGATGATGATGATGATGATGATGATGATGATGATGATGATGATGATGATGATGATGATGATGATGATGATGATGATGATGATGATGCTGCTGCTGCTGATGATGATGATGATGATGATGCTGCTGCTGCTATTGTTGTTGTTGTTGTTGTTGTTGTTGTTGTTGTTGTTGTTGTTGTTGTCATTGTTGTTGTTATTCTTGTTGTTGTTGCTGCTGCTGTTGTTGTTGTTGATGCGAGGTGGAGGAGGATGACGAGGAGGAGGAGGAGGAGGAGGAGGGATGACGAAGGGGAGGGAGGGTAGGATGAAGAGTAGAAGGAGGAGGAGGAGGAGGAGGAGGAGGAGGAGGTGGAGAAGGAGGAGGAGGAGGAGGAGGAGGAGGAGGATGGAGGATGGAGGATGCAGCGTAGGAGGGAGGACGGAGAAAAGCGAGCTGGAGGAAAGAGAAGGGAGTGGGGAGGATTGGGAAGGAGGAGGGGTGATGACCTCGGGTGTGCCCTCGTGACATGGGTCGGCCCCTGACTTGATCACCCGAGCCCGCAGTTTGAGCGGGGTCCGGTGAACGGATGAGCACTAATAAGGGGCAACGAAGGTGGATGCTGATCGTGCTGGTGTTTCTTTTCCGGAGCTTGCCAGAACCGCTAGATTGTCTTCGCTAGCGATATGAAGTATTAACTACTCAGCATCAATCGCATCATCGGGGTGATCTTCAGTGGAGATTTGACAAATGTTCGGCAACTCTAGCTGGTAGCGGAGCTGGTACGCCGTCAGCTCCACGGGTACGGAAATCCAATACGCGACAATCATCATAGCGTCTACATGCCTGTCTTCATCAGGATGTTCAGACAGCCAGTGGGACTTCATACTATCGGAGTTGGCCGAGCAGTGCGAGCAAAACGAGCACGCCCAGCTTGGCCTTATGGGCATCAGGTTCCAGATCCGCGAAATTGGAGCATCATGAGAGGCAGCATGACAAACCCGCCACCGTGGTCGCCGAGTTTGCGGAGCGCGGCAGGAAGGTGGGTCAGCAGGCCCTGGTCAAGCCGCGATGCGTTGCAGGCGTCGGCAACGGTTCGCAGCGGGCCGACTGCGAGGTGGAGTTGACGACGGACATGGTGGGCGCCGACGGCGTTTATCACGGAGACGTCTTCTTGTCGCTGTGCCTTGAATTCTGGCATGGCGGGCCTCGTTGGCAATCGGAGTCTGGCGCGCAATGGCGCCCTCGCCCAATGCAGGACGGGTCAGATTTGGTTCCCGGGGCCTTGTGGGGCATGGTTGAGGCTTCGCCTTGCAGCAGACACTTAGATGCTCAAGGCAAAGTCTGGCCGCTGGCAGGTCCCGATCAGCGGGTTCCGTGGGGAGAAAGGCGGCCGTTCCTCCCAGACCAGCAACGTGGCGATGTCGAGCCGCAACGCGAGCGGCGCGAACAGGGCCGCCGCTGGTACTGGGTTTCTTTCGCTTGTGACCAGGACGTCGACGTCGGATGATATGTCGGTTAGCTGGGACCTTTCAGCCTAACACAGCGCGCGCGGCGGGCTTCCTCGTCCGGGAGGCGGCGCCGCCGTCTTCGGGATCGGCTGCTGAGTCAGCAGGCGAGGAGTGGAATGCCGTGATGGAGCCATCGCGGAGGAGAACGTTCATCGCTGATGCGTTGTGATGGTTAGCGAAATTGCCCACTGGTAGCAGCGACTAGTTGAGCGATGTCTGCGCGCTCGTATGGTGTCGCGAACTACGTCCTTGGATT